TGCAATGTCTTTAAGGAGGATGGCTTGGACGAGCATGGCTTGGACGAGCAGGGCATCACGACTTTACCTGATTATTGGATTCCAGGGACTCTTGCCTCAGCAATTCGAGGTCGTATAAATCCGTTCGAGCTAGGAACCACATAATCACTGGCTCAGCAGACTGGTCATCAAAACAGCTAGAGACTCGGGACGTAAGACGACGAAGACTAAGACTAACGCCAAACGCATTGCAAGTCTCAAGTGCAAGAAAGAGAATTTGGAAGGGTAGCTGGTAGAATAAGCGAATGCTCAGATGCTCAGGATTTTTATCAAACAAACAAACCTAACTAACCTGACCTACTAAAGCATTTTTGGAACCCACTAGCCCAGGTATGTAAACCTGGCTCAGCTCACAGAAGATGAGCGCGCCATCCTGAAGGAGAAGAAGCCACTGGACTTGCACACATAGACGTGCAATGTGCGTCAACATCATCATGGCAATGCTGCTAGTGTAGTTGCAGATCTACAGGGCCATAACTTAACTGCCAGGCCATATCTAACTTCCAGAACTAACCCGTAACCCCAACAATGTTTCTGTGAGTGGGACCACATATTTATTTACTTCCACCATGGTCGTCATAGTCTGAACATGCCACACTGCTGCATGAGGCACACATGAATGTACTGAGTACTAGGACTAGTGACTAGTACTGGTACTGTAGCTACTGTACTAGTTGAGTCTCGAGTTGTTCTTTGCGGTTTTCCATTCAGAGTCTGGAAGTCCTTTGATTTTGGACCTTCCACTGCTACTCAGGATCGAAATCTGGGGGGCATGCGAAGGGGCTGGCACAACAGCGTACCTTGGGCACCTCAGCTTCAACAGAACACTTTTCCCGAGTGGGCCAGTGGATGGATTGATATAGGGCAGCTGGTGACCGGTTACAATTTGTTGAGTTTGTGGAGGGGCAATACTTCACAGAGGTCACACCAAAGGCTTTCCTGGTGGCATTATGCAGCTAGGCCATGCGGCTAGGCTGCGCAAATCAACAACGGGTATGTAGTAGCAAGTAGTGAGCAAGCAGGATAGCGGGATGCAAGCAAAAGCGTACTTAGCCAACAACACCACAGGCTTTCTTAGGATTTCGGATTCTCAGCATTTACACTTATTGTGCTTGATAGATCCCTGACAAACCTTTTTCGACAACTGATAGACTATAACAAATGATTTCAATTTCAAATGCTATATTATTATGCTATATATTATATTATATAAATATTATATAGAGATAATGAATAAAAGCAGTGAAGACCTAGTCCAAACATTTTTGGCGCTTGAGACTCTGTGAGATGACTGTGGGTTCACAATCGAGGCGGCGCTTGGAGGAAGAGCTCGGCTGCGTGTTCGATCTTCACTTCAGCAGTGAGCGAGATGTGAGGGCACGAAATTGGTGCCGCAAGCATGGGGAGTGCAGCTTGGGTTTAACATCCAAATGGGAGGACAATCAGAAGGGACATTGTCACACAGAAAACAAACCACAAACATGTTAGTTGGTGAGAGCCTCTGCCAAAGTAGGCAGGTGGGATGGCACTACGACAGACTATACACTATATAAGTATATAATTTATATAATGCTATAATGCATGTGGCACTAGTTCAATATGACATTGACTGACAAACATACAGTAGCAGCAAGCATGCCGCGTACTTACTTACTTACTACTTACTACATATACGTCAGTCATACTGCTCACAATTTTATAGGCGCGGCAGGAGGCAATCTCTTTCAACCCTCCCTTGTCCAGTCCAGTCTAGTCTGTCTAGTCTACTAAGATTCACATGCCACAATCGCGTAGATTTGTGGACTCTGACTTTGACTCTGATTCAGACGATGTCAAGTCATGTCAGGTCTCACTTCTTTTGAAGGCCCAAAACTTTCCAAACTTCAGTTTGCCTCCTGACTCCTGCTTGCCTTGTTTGCCAAGGGAAGCATGTTTTTGCCGACGTTGAGCATGACCTTTCCGGCGGATACTGCCATGAATGCGAGGAGCATCATCACATTCTAAGTGTAGATGAGACTGGGCTTGGTTGTGCAAGGTTCCGGAGGGTTTGGAGCTCCTAGAAGACATGATATGAGCCTCGAACGAATGCCTCTCAGGCCCCTCCTTGTCCCGGAAGAAGGTTTGCATGAGTGAAACTTCATCCCATTTCATGAAGTAGCTGAGGATGACATTGCCATGATGGGCATTCCATGCCCATTGTTCTCATCGTTGAATTGCAACTCTCGACGCAAGGGGTATAACCCCTTTCTCAAGTGCCTTGGATTCCGGATACGTAGTGAAGGGCTGATGCTAATGTTGCTTTCATTTTTCCTGGGGTCGTGTGTCGATTCGGCCTTGGGGGACTGGATGCAGGATAATTACATCAGTGACATAGTGGTAGCCAGCCATGGCCATACCTAAACCGGCTACTGTAGAAGCTGCTGCTTCCTGAGTTCTTGGCGCTGATGCTTTTGATTTGCGTCAGTCTAAGGAAGGAAGCCCGCGTGATCAAGGCCTGCTTGAAGAAGATCAGGCACCACAACCCGCGCACCTTCATTATAGAGGAGGAAGCTCGGTGGCAGTTGAGAATCGGCCAAAGCCAAAGCCCCAAGTCAAGAAGGACTGATTCTTGAACAAACCTGTTGATGCGAATTGGGTGACGGTGACCGCTCTGAATCTGGAGAAGTGGCATGACGAGCCACTTTCGCAGATAAGGCTTCGCTTCGCTTGTTTGTATCTATCAGTCTATGACTATGACATGGGTCCAATACCAATACTGGCCAATACTGCCGGCTGTATTAGATAATTAGACTGGACTGTCAGACAGACTGCCTAGTTAAAACAAAAGTAAATAATGACGACGGTGATCATTAATGATATTATATGCGCGCATTCAAAAGACCTTCGAGTTGGCGGTTTCCAGCCTGGAACAGCTCAGGGTCTCTGTGAGTGTTCCTAGTTTCCAGAGTGGACAGCCCCCACTCCTGTTTTTTCTACTCTGACTCAAATCTTAGACTTAGACACTAGACTAGACTAGACTAGACTGCACTAGACTGGACTGGACTAGATTTGACTGTCTCTGAGACTTGACTTAGGCGACTTAGGCACTTAGCTGAGGCCCACTTAGTCTTTTAGCCCACTTGTTGAGAACGGGCCACTCATGTGGGTGCCTGCAACCATGGGTTTCAAGGGACGGACCCCAACCCTCAAGGCACCGGGACTAAGGGACTAAGGACCTACTGGGGATAGTAGGAACTGACGGTGACTGATGTGATGTTTGCTTGCCTTAACGCACGTTGCCAAGTTGGAGGACCAATAACAGCGGCTTTGCGCTCAAGATGTTGGGCTTTGCAAAGGCGTTGTTGCCACATCCGAAGGATTAGGTTAGGAGATGTTAGGAGTTACGAGGAGTAGGAGAAGAAGGAGCCTAGGCCCACCTAACAATGGTTTGCAATGCCTTGATTTGACTGCCTGCCTGGCAGCACAACGCTTGCTTTCGTCAAGCCGGTCTAGTCTCAAGTGCCGCCAGAGCCAGACTGTAGCCATTGTGAATTGGGCGTCGTGCTGGACCTATAGTTTTTGGCGAGCGACAGCGATGTGAGGCGGTAGCCAACGAAATGGAATAGCTGTGGGCTGTCGTAGCCACTGCTTTAAACAGACCGTTTCCGTATCCTGCTTCAACCGCTTCAGCTGACACTTGGACTTCCAACTAAGTAACAAGCAGAGCAAGCGACAGTAATGACAGCAACACATCCAAAAGGTCCAAAACTCACAAGGAAGAAGAACAAATTTCAACTTTGAGGAAGGGGAAGGGGTTGGGGTTGCCAGAGTGAAGTTGCAGCTTGCACAAACAGTATTTACTAACTTACTGTTACTCTTACCGGGGCTTCAACTTCAACTGTTGTAGTCACAATTTCCTGTACTGTACGGTACAAATCAGTACCATACCGATACCGCCGATACCCAACTGTGGTAGATTGTGCCACCACCACCCGGGAACCAAATTCAAAGGTGGCGAAGTGACATACAGTCCTTACTTGTGGTCTTCCGTTTCCTTTTCATGTTTCAATGAGAGCCCAAGTCAGAGTCTTTTGGAGTCGCTGGGCGGGGCGCTTGTTAACACCTTCCTGTTTGCCTTTCTTTTCTATCATGGCTGAGGTGTGGTCCATCACCCGCAAGTTCCCGCAAGAGTTGCCAGGGAGCTGGAACAAGTACAAGGTGCGAACTGTAGCTGCGCGGAATGAGTGTAAGGGCAGGGTCAAGCAGTCGCGTTTAGGGACCTTGGAACTTAGGCGCTTTCGTGAGACTCAGTTCAGGTGTTGGAAGTCAGTAGACTGACTAGACTCACTCTGACGATTTTCAATGCAAAGTTCAGACGCTGAAGAAGCGTGCAAGGTGAAGGACGGACTTTTGAAACAATCCGCTCTGAAACATACGCTTCTCATGCTGTCAGTGTACTGCTGTGTGTTTGCGAGATTTGGGCTGGTCACACTCAAGGTGCAGTCCATGCCATTATGCCAACAATCACAAATCAACAGCGCTGACACAAAGGTCACCAACACCACTACATGATACATGAACTTGGTCTATAAGCGGCAACCTGGAAGTTAAGCTGCCGAGTTACAAGTTACAAGTTTATAGTTTGTAAGTTCGTTAGAATCGGACTGGCAGCAAATCAACATCGATTGGCGATCCTAGTCTAGACCGTGTTCAGATTCAGATGTGACAATGTGATGTGCGATGTTAAGTTGAGTGTTTTGTTCAGTCAGTTCGTTCTTGTGTTCTTTTGCAAACTTTCATTTTAAATCATCTTCATTTTTGGGAACATATCCACCTCCAGCGAACCGAACCCGATTGGAATGCCATTGACTGACCTTTGGCGCCGACCTCAAAGATCAGCAAATCCTGAACCTCCAGGATCTTCGGAATCTTCCGGTCAATGTCAAAGCTCCGAAGCAGAAGCAAGCTCATCCTCTTCAGCCATGTCTATTGAAGAGGAAAATGGCGGTTCAGAGTCGGAGTCAGATGCACAGGAGTTGAACAGAGCAAAACGCAGATTGCGCACAGAGAAAGCACGCGCTGCAGCACTTTTGGCACGACAGGTGAAGAGAGCAGAAGCTGAAAAGGCTAAGCTGACAACCAGTGATCATCCAGCTGCACGTTTCAAGCCAGATTTGCAACCTAACCCGGAGATCAACAAACCTGGAAACTTTAGCAATACGATTCACAGACGCAGGATCAGGGTCGTCTACTCTTGGTTCAAGGCTTGGTGCACCAGCCTGCTGAGCATACTGCAAAGTTGCACCAATAGAAATTCAAGCTTCTGTTATACAGTGAACGTGGTGGACGATACCAGCATCCGGCTGGCAGATTTGATTAGTGGGGTGCCTCAGTGGAGGAAGAGCCGGATGGTATCGTGTCCAGTCTCTTGTGATCGATTTTGACAAAGAGGGATCACGGGACTGCCGAACGTTCCTTGTCCACACTCCGTTGGTATGTGTTCCGAAAACTGATGGAAACACCATTACTCTTGAGCTCAAGAGCTGGATGCTGGCCTTTTTAGGCAGAGTTGCGCCACGCTTTGAATTCCTGGGGCTTTCTCAAGATTGCTTCGACAGGTTCACAATCCAAGGAACGGTTGTGTGCTGGGACGCTCTTGCTACAAACCACTCCATCCTCAAGCGTTTGAGATTCCTTATTCACATGAAACAGCAGGCAGATGGGTACGGTGTTGTATATCCGCTATATTCAAGCGTGTGCCTTCTGCACCAGCTTTCTCTTTCAAGAAAGCCTTGTGTTTATCATTTTCCATCAGTTTGGAGCAGCGTGGTGCGCTTAGCGCACCTTTTCGAAACCCATTCATTTAGAATGAGCTTTCGGTCCGCACTCATCAAACTGATAGTCGCCAACTACCGCTTTGTTCAAGTCATTGGCAGATCTGATGAAATGAAAAGCTGGCGGCAAAAGCGCAACTGGCTTTGCGGCCTGTATACAAACAATGCTTCTTACAGCACCAAACGAAGACAGCTACATCTTCAACTTATGCAGTATGACAACGGCGACCCGGAGAGTCCCCAGTGGACCCACTGGTGTCAGGGAAAATGCTGTTCTAGCGCTGGAGATTCTGCTGAGGATAGATCCAACTTCAACCTCCTTCAAATCTGCAAGGGCTACACCCTATTGTTTGCAATGGGGTTTGCATGCCCATTGCTCTATCGGTGGGTTCACGCCCACCAAGCTTTGGAGTGGACCAAAGCCCCTTGGCCTGAGCCTGGACTGGACTGTTTCATGATGCGTTCAAGAATGATTCATTGCTTGATTTTTTGTTTATCAAATGCGCCCAAACCACAAAGCTGGCCGTGGCCTCGCTCGTATGGCAACCAGGGTCATGGTGAAATTGAAAGGTTCTCAGCAGTCTTTTTGCTTGACACATCTATCTTTTGCAGCCAAAGCGTAGCCTCATAAGGAAGCATCCACTTTGCACTTGATGCTCCCACGTGTCTTGGAGCTGCTGTCGCGCAAAGAGCAAACCACTAATGAGCAGGCGAAAGCAATTGAGCTTTTGATGGACTCTGTTGGCATTCATGCAAGAAGAGAGGAGGAGGATGACGAGAATGATGGCCTGGGCCAGCTCGGTGAAAGTGATTGGGTCAATTTCCTTGAAGATATTCAGGAGTCAAAAGACTTATCATTCGCAGAAATAAATGCGAAGAGGAAGCAGCTGACGTTCAAGGCCTTTTCGGACCCGACAATGCCAACCAAGATTACCATACTGGAATCGGTAATTCAGCCTAATGTTGCCCAGATGGACACTTTGTTCAAGCGGAGTGGAATGATCTCCTCCTTGTATCACCTTCCGAAGAACGCAGCACAGGAGCGATCAGATCTGATGCAGAGGCAGGCAAACGAACAACAGTTGCGCGATCAATCACGAATTTTGAGCCTGCCCTGTATCTTCTGTAGCAACAGTTGGTAGAATCCGTGGCCGTCGGATCATCATTGATCATTGCTAAGTTAGGCGATCACAGAATTGTTTGAGCCTAGTTTTTGCTAGACTCCTCTGCGGTGCCCCGTCCGGGTCGAGGTCCAAACTCCATTGGTTAAGAGATTAGTTCTAGTTCTACAGTTCTACAGTCTACAGTTTTTAAATATTAGATCGATCAGAATAGAATAGATCAGATCTGTACTGTATGTATGACTCTGTATGACTGTATATTAAATTATATGATATGATATCGTTTGATAAATAGTAAGTAAATAGTAATAAAACAGTATAAGTTCCTGATTCCAAGTCCTGTTTTTTGGTTTCTTAAAATCCTCTGTGCCCCTCCAAGGTCATCAGAGGTGTTCCTCACATGTGTTTCTGGGCAAATGGGAGAAGAGATGGTTGCAGCCTATGTCAAATTGCTGGTGGAATTTCCCGTTTTGGGAGAACCCCAATTTGCAGAGTCCTACTTCGAATTAGTGCTCCAATCTGCTGGAGATGCTTGGAGACGTTTCTCCCTTGAACAAGATCGATTTCCCAACAAAATGTTCAAGTTGGCCAACCTGGATCACCAGTCCTTTCTGGAGAAGTACCGGGCATACCAATATATTGAACGGTGTTGCTGTGAATGTGTTGACCTGGAGTTCTCCTCAATCCTTTTGGCATACATTACTGAGCAGGATGATGACCTCCAAGTTCAAGAGAAGGTAACTCAAATCCAAGCTTTCTTGCGCAGCCTTTGCATATACGCACCCGTTTCAGCAGATGTCGTCGAATGCCTACATGGCGCTTGTCAATCTCGCCTAGCCAGATTCAGAGGACCTCGTCAATCTGATGATATTGCAAAAGAGATTACTGTCCTCGACAAGCTGTGCAGCTCGTATGGTAAGTTCCAGGAGTGGATGTGGAACCGGCTTGGAGATCGCAGAGCTTTGAACCGATTGCGGGCCTATGGGAACCATAGAGGGAATCAGCATAGTCAGCAAGGCAGGTCAATTCCCCAGACATTTGGGCTGAATTTTGATGATTTGGACAAACTTCTGTCATCTGGCAAGAGTCCTGCTGCTCCTCGAAAGTTGTGCGGTTGCTCGATGGCACATTGACATGACTGACTTGACTCAGGGTTATGATGTGAGACTGGCTAGATACACGACTCTAGAGTCGAGTAGTGACAACCTGTGGCTACCCGGGACCCTACCTGCGATTGTATAGATGTGCCTGTTCAGGCCATTGGCATTGGTAATTGGCCTTTTCTGATGTTACCTAGCCTTAGTTAGTTTCCTGTCTTTACTATTACTAACCTCATTTAGTATAATATAAATAAAACAATAAAATAAACAATATCTTATCATTGTATCAATGTTTAATAATATTAACATAACTTTAAGATGTTACATTACATGTTAGTACCTAATGATACTAATGATTGACAGTGCCTGAATGGTGAAAGACTAATTACTAATGACTATGACTAGGACTACTGACTAATGATGATTCTGAAAATCATGCCGCCCTATTGCCGTACCTATTTCCATTCCCTTCACCTTCCCTTTGATTAATGGAAAGTTTGATTTCGTCAGGACAAATAGACTAGACTAGACTAGACTGGCTAGACTGGGCCAGACCTGACTAGAGCAACTAGAGTCGAGCCTTCAAACAGTAAGTGGAAATTGATTTGCACGTAGACAGAGAGTCTGTAGAGTAGAGTTCGGGGCTTGGGCTAGGTCAGACTTAAAACTTAAAGTCTTAAGAACAACCCCTGTTCACAGTCCGAACTTGGGTACGATACGATGCAGTTCTCTTGCCCTAGGTTGGAACATTTTTCAGCGAGAAACAATGGCCCACTCACAGCTACAACCTGACGAATGGAAGGCCGCACTGAAAAATGCAGCCGAGATTGGAAGAGAATGCCAGACAAAGAGAAGGATGCCTACCATGCCATTGCAGCAGAGGAGGAAGGTGTCAGACAAGAGGCCATGCTGCAACCATACCAAGCAAAATCACATTCTGCAAACAATGTTGTTCCTTTGGGCAAGGCAAGCTTTGATGCAGCAGCCAATCTTGGTCGGAATGCTTTGAAAAAGCTGTCCCTCCATCGCTTGTTGGTGACGTACCAGGAGTACAAGAACGGCGAAGGGTGGAGCGACTTTGATGCCGGCCTAGCACGCCCTGAAGGAGCCATGAGTTTAGACGACATTGACTTGGACACTAGCCAGGATGACATCCAAAAAACATGGAGCAGATTTGTGGGGAGTGCATGCCTACATCACAAGAATCAGGAGATTGCCATGGACACGAGGTTGGCTTCCTTGCATCACAAAGTGTGTGGACAGGGTTTCGGTCTTTGCAAGCGGGAGGCAGCTTTCTACCTGGAGGCACAAAGGTTTGCAAGAAGCCTTCATCACTTCATAGGCAAAGGCTTCCAGGCTGAACAAGAGTGCAGTCAAACTGTAGTAGCTGAAGTTTCATAAAAATACTACTACTATTACTAATACTACTTACTATAACTTCAACTGTAAACTGCCTCGTCATATAGATAACTTAACTCATTCAACACATCTCAACGACACTCTGTTGACGCTGTGAAAACATGGACGATGAGTTTGAGTCAGTCTGCCTCTGACTGATTTTGCTTCCAAATGAGGTAGAGCGACTCTGACTCTAACTTTGACTTTGATTTTACTTATAACTTATAACTTATTCCAACTTATTCCCCCAATTTGGCCATGTCCGTCATTGTCACTCCCTCGCCTCCAGTTTCCTCAGGTTCTTTGTCGGCAGGCTCCCTTTTTGGAGTTACGGGCTTTGACGGGATGCACTTCTTCTTTGTGGCATCTGTTATGAAAAGGCCAGTGGTACAAGTTCTATTGCAGGGTTTCAAGGTTCCTCGTGCCAGTACTAGTGGCAGTGATGATGATGGGCTTTTTGAGGTGTTGCTGATGAAGCCTGGGCAAATAGATTCAACACCTATCATGCGCACTGCCCACCAGGCCTTTAACGATTTGTGCTTGACATACAAGACAGGTGGCAGGCCAACTCCTACAACCTTGGAAGTTCAATCCTACGAGTACCGATTCAACCCGTTTGCTCCATTGTTGAGGGCAAAAGTCATTAGGTCAAAAGATAGCTTTCAGTTCTCGACCTCACTGCCGAAGAAAGCAAAACAGCAGAGTGGCTCTTTACCTTTCGGCTTGAAATTGAAGAAGCGGAAGCGCAAAAAGCCTGCTGCAAAAGAACCAGGAGCTCCCTCACAGAAACGGGCAACAGGTCGGAATTGGACTTCCCATGAGATAGACGCCAAGCTCAGCTCATCTGAATTGGCAAACATGGAACCCCGCTCCGACAGTGAGCAATCTGGTGACAACATTTGTTGTGGTTCCTCATGCACGGAGAGCGACTCAAGCGACAAGGTCGCCAACAGTGGAAGTGATCAGTCTGATGAGTCTGATGTCACTGATGTTGTGGAACTTGCAGAGGAGCCAGTCACTTCAGCCTCAGCTAAGGCAGAGGAGTTGCAAGCGACCAAGATCATGGACCAGCGATCGGATCGCCTAGAAGCCTCAGTCAGTCACCTCAGCCTCATCCTCAGTCCCTTTGAAGGGAACGCGATGCAACAGTTCATTGGGGCTGGTGGAGGCTTCGGTGCAGGTTGCTGCCCGACTGGCAGGATGCCGGCATTGCCTTTGCAAGGTACCTCGCGGTGCGCCACGGTTTGGGTTCGCCTACAGCCTGCAGAAGTTTCATAGTTACTTACATGAGGCATGTGTCATTGACCATTTAGTTCAGGAACAATCCAATATGGAACAAGCGGCTGCGTTCCTTGCCACAACAATCCAGGACGAGAAGTTGAAAGCTGAAGTGCGTGCAGCTGCTGAAAGACTGCAAAGAGATTTGTCTCGCCATTTGGCAACGTCTTCCGGATGTGGCAGTAGCACTTGAGCTGGACCAGACTTGAGAGTAGATTGAGAGATAGTGACCATACTGCTAGACCGGACTAGCATAAGTGGCATAGGCTTAGGCCCATACACAGACACACGGCACTACAGCATGCAGCATACAGCATACAGTAACAAATTACAAGCCACGAAGTATAAGGTCTAAGTCAACTAAAACATGAAGGGTTTCGAAGGGTTCCAGGGTACAATGGTGTAAGAAACCAGCACAAATGCTATCCGTGTGTTTGCGGGCTTTTTACAATGTCCACATGGACGACTCAAGTGGCTAGAGCGTGTGCCACACCTTGACCTTCCTGACCACAAGCGCCTGGGAGGGTGGCTGGTTCCGGGGTGTGCAAATTGTGCAGTCTGGGTGGTTCAGGTTTGAAAGCGAGAGTTACGAGTCACGAGTCTGAACCATTGACTATCATTGAAGATTCAAGTTGTTTTCCCTGTTTCAGCACTCAACAGTACTCTACTCTACTGGCAACTGCCAACTGTAAGGTTCCATACAGGTCCGTACATACATGTGCATACAGGATACAGCAGCGTGCAGCATACATGACAGGCTCCGATCGACTTCTTCTTGTACGGAGAAGAGGATGGTGTCAAGTATGGCCTCAAGCTTCTTGTCAATTCGGACAATGCAGTTGCCCAATATAAGTGCTCCTAGACTCCCAGTTAGATTGTCATAATTCATAATTTGAAAATTTGGAATCATAACAATCATAGTCTGAATCGGGTTAGCGGTTAGTTACTTATTATTGTTGTGACTGTTCACCGCCACCAGTGAGATAGTGATAGTACTAGTAAAACTAGTCTACTAGTAGTACTACTGTGTACTGTGTACTGTAATACGGTGTAATACCGGATATGCAAACCGCAGATGCAGGTCACTTGTGGTTCTTTGAAGATTTGAAGACGTGTTCAACCAACAGTTCACGTAACTCATGGATGAGGGCTCATGGTGTAAAGCTGCTGAAGTTGTTTCTATTGACGCCTTCACCTTACTTACCTTACTTGCCATGTGAACCATGTGATGAACATGAGCTGACAGTGGCAGTGGACATTGAATTTGGAATTTTGAATGTCGAATTATATGATTCGATATGTAACATGTATTTGATGATTCTATGTTTTGTTGATTATATAATATGTTATCAGAAGTTTCAAGTTTCAGAAGAATGAATGAAGTTTCGATTCATTAGAATCCATGATTAATGATGCGTTTTGTGTCACTGGCAAGGTTGAATCAAACAAAGTCGGTGTTTGAGAGAATTTACTTTTGGTTTTCTCCACTTTCAAGGTTGGACTCTGACGGAGATTTGGGCTTTCAGCCTTACCATGTGAAAGTGCTATGCCTTCCGTGGCTTGCTTTGCATTTCTGACTCAAAGTCAAAGTGCCAGGACAAACACTTCAGAGAGTGTGTAGGTCGCTTCAAGTGAAAAACGGGTTACATGGACTTGCCATGCTGGTCTAGTGTGTGTATATGGACAGACATTCATTGATACTTACAACTTACAACTTGTAGATTTAGATAGACGACTCCAAAGACTGTTTGACTGTTTCATGTGTTCTGTTAGTATGAGTATGTATAATAGCGCCGCTAGACAGAATCCTGAAATCCTGTTGTTTATATAACTTATATATTATATATTCATTTACTGCTTCAATAACTGCAATAACCAAATGCTGATGTTAATGATCGAAAGACAGCCAGCGTGCGTCACCATCTGCAATTGAGGTCTCACATGTACGGATCAGCCAACGTTCGACGCCGATGCTACATTATTGGAGTCCAAGAGGCTATGGTGCCAGTTCTTGACTTTGAGGCAATGTGTGCATATATCCAAGCAGACTGTCCAACCATTCACAACCAATGCACTTTGATGGATTGCTACTTGAGTTAAATTATGTTCAAAGAAGCGTGTTTTGTTTGCAGGATTTGTTGGTCCTGAGTCCAGGCATGTGTGTGTGCAAACAAAGACATATCTTGTGTCTAATTAGTAAATCATATCAAACCGAATCATATCTATCAATCATATTATTATGGTTTTTGTTTCAAGAGTTAGGGCGGATGCTGCTTGGCTGCTTCCACACAAGTAGGCAAAAGGCCAACAAACACCATTCACTACAGTATCCCGGTATCCCTTTCTACTTCAGGACAGACCATGGTTACAGGGCTTGACTCTGAAAGATTTGGAAACAAGCGTACCGCAGCGTACGGATGAATTTAACATGTGTTTTTGTTTAAGGTGTTCAATGTTCAAGTTCAACTGTTCAACTGTTTAGTCTTATTTTAGAATCCCTTTTTCCCACATTTAGAGTTCCACAATGGTAGACGGTAGATTAATAGACAGTAGAGTGACAAACAAGCCACAAATCAACCCAAGTGCAAGCGGCTGACTAACTTTAGGTTGGAGATTCCTTGAGAACAACGGCTTGGACGGGACGCTGCCATCAACTGCCAAGGACTGGTGAGACAAACCCTAGACTGTCCCTGACCTAGACTGGACCATTTTGTAAATGGTAAGTTTGTCATTAGCCATATTTGTTACATGATCTCAGGAACGGTCAGTGACAGTTCAGAACGGTTCTGGGCACCCCCTCCCCCACGTAACGGGTCACGTAACAGATCCATTTTCCATGGTCCATGGTCCATGATCCTTAGGCCCGTCCTTCTCCCTTTCTCTCCCTTTCTTTGTTGGATTAGTCCCTGTGTGGCTGTTCAGGACTGCAGGAGCAAGAAGACCAAGACAAAGACCAAGACCGGCGACCTCAAGTACTCTGACAGGTTGAGCCCCGAGGCCAGGTCCTGGTTGAACTCCAGGGAGGTGGAGAAGCTGAACGTGGAGCACAAAAGGATTGTTGAACTCCAGAAGCACTAGCGCTGAAAAGGAAGGGAGGTGGTAGGCTGTGAGTCTGTAGGTGGTAATGGAGTTTGTTCCACCACATGTTTTTGGGCTGAGTTTGAAGTAATGGAAATCTCACACTGACTCTACAAGGACTGCAAAGCCTACTGCTGCTACATACCGTTGCCTTGCTTCTAATTTCTTACTTACATAACATACTTACTGATTTGTTCTTGTTATTTGTTCTTACTGTTACTGTCACTATTATTCTTACCCTGGGACTGTTGCTGA